AGAAACCTGGGTAAGGGATACCCACTAAAAAACTTCTTGTACTACCTAGCATTCTACCTAGGCACCAACAGTTCAAAAGGATATGCCTTATAGGCTGCTAAACAAGACCTGCGTGGCATTTGTTATCTCTGGTATTCCATAGTCCAGGTGTTAAATAATTCACTAGATAGAATTGTGTGTAGAAATTTTATCTAGGTAAGACACAGCATCTGTTCTTTATTTGAATCCAATCAAAATTATACTAATAATTCTCAATTCTAAACATAGTCAAAAATTATTTAAATGATAGAGAATTTTGTTTTATTCCATTTCACTGCAACTTTAGTGGAATACTGTGGAATTTGAAAGATTTCGCGTCTCGCAATGCACGAGGACACAGACGGTTCGGACTGATTGTATCTGTAAAAGATTGGCAATAGCATTTCACCTAATTTAAAACCATTCCACCGAAAACCGAAATTTTATCGTTTTACATTTGCATATTTTCCTCACTGAAAGTATTTTCTTATATACAAAAAAGAAATTCTATCTATTGTTGTTTTTGCACGAAATTTAAATTATAATATTAATATTGGAAGTCCTTAGAATCAAAGAAATAACATTAATGACCAAATAGAGCATTTTATTTTATTATCTGTGTCGTAACAGAAATCTTCATATCTATGCATCTATTCGAACCACAGATTACGAATACCTATGAGCATAAGCAAGGAATTGCAAAACAAAGACATTTAAATCTAAATGTGGGGCAGTATCGCCTATTAAGTAAGGTATAGGATTGTGAAAGGCATTCAGTATTCATTGCTAGAGATTTGTACGTGAGCTCCTCGCCACATGGGAGTTTGAAGCAATTCTGCAGATATTTGCTACTTGAACACCGATATTATGGAGATGTGTTGCCAGAATATTGTAGTATAGATAATTAAAGGTAAAAAAATTACGTGGCTTCTCAAACTGAAGGAAGGCAGGAAGTGATTGTTTTATATCTATTAGTAAAAATAGTCTTATTGTGACACAACCAAAACAAAACTTAAACACAAAATTTTGGCAAAATAAATAATTTTGGGTTATTTTCATAAATATGTGACAAGAAACCGACCTTTTTAGTGTAGTTAAAAATAAATAATAAAACTTTTAATTAAAATTTTACATAATACGTGAATAAAAATTATTATTACGAACAAAGTCACGACAATTAATATACCTTGATTATGCGAATCGATCTAGATCACATAGAATAATGAATTCAAGGAACTTTAAGAGGAATTCAAGTTAAATGGAGACTTATTACAAAAGGAATTAATTATATTTTAATTAATTATGCTAAAGCTTTAAAACAAGTAATTAGCGTACACGCTGCAACTTGAAACCAGGTACATGGAGTACTCTTAATAATTCTCGAACGAGTTACGAGCTGGGTCATAAGTACTATCAAATTATCACGAAGTTTTTATATACCTATTAAAAATATTCGACATAATATACCCAAATATACAAAAAACTTAGGTTTATTGCTCTGAAGTTAAAAACACATAGTCACAGCATTTTACTATTTATGCATATAAAAATTAATCTCTTTATCCCTTGGGAAGCCATATAAACCACCGCAGGCACCTAGAATGGTGACCTCAGTAGAACAAAAGACCGCGCGGCCGCCCACTGACTACGTGGACTGACGACATCGTCCAGGAATTTGGCTCCCAGTGGATGCAGAGAGCCCAGTGCAGGGTGTACTAGAGGAAAATGGAGGAGGCCTACGTCCAGAAATGGACCAAAAAGGGGCTGATGATGAAGCCATATAAAGAAATTCTCAACTTTACTAACATTAGAAGAATATTAGAACCACTCATGGCCATGTGTAATATCATTTCAAAATCCCTATTAAATCCGCCAAAACTTGTAATACATGGTCATTGGTTACTTTTCGGTAGAGTATTTTTTTTTTCACAGTGGGGTACGAAGTAAACAAAATGTTATGATTTGAGAAATTTTTGTATCGTATAACTTAATATTATCTTCAATACACTCAATAAAAAACTACAAATAGAATGTCTAACGCAAAGACTCATCAGTACAAATCTAGTGGATAATATTATGAAAAAGATACAGAATGTAGATTTTTTCGAATTTCAATTTTCTTAGAAACACAACAACTGCTGACAACTCTGAGTATAAGCTTCGGACAAGGTCCTTTGGGTCCTCTAATATCTCATTGTAAGATGACGTAAGAAGATAAGATGACGGAAATAATAGAATGTGAAGCGCACACGTTCCTGTTTACTTTTCAAGTCACGCTCTCCCCTGAAACGTTTAAATAAATTCACCAAAACTCTGCAAACAATTTTATTTGGGCAAACATTATTTTTATAGCTATAATTCACGACAATGTTTTTTTAATAAAGCTTTTTAATGTGTTATGACAATAAAAGTAATAAATAATGGGTAATCTTTGGCAGACTGATTGTAGAAATAAATTAATTGAACGAAAATATATCTGTTTTCGTTGAAATAAAAGTTAATCTAGAACAGAGATTTTAATTGATTATTCATAAAAGCCTATGGAACACCAATTGTCGAACGCAGGTTACATTCCGGGTTGACTTTATAAGACTATCATGAAGTCTCATTAAGTATAAATTATATTTGAGTTTAGATATTCTCGTAGCAAACGAGTGGGTAGGTCTCAAGAGACTGCGCCTACACTGTGTAGTACCATTTTATGTGGGAGAAGGATTTATTAAACCTACAGAAATACTGGTTCCAAGAACTAATATAATTTAAAAAAATTCAGAAATTCTTAAATACTTTAAGAATTGTTAGTGATTTTTATTTCTATAGAGATGATAAGTAAGTACCCTTGAAGGCAAACATTTTAGATTGGCTAAACACTGTTACATATTATGTAAACTAACCATAATATTGCAAAAATGATTCATAATAGTACTTAGGTAAGCAAACCATATGTGCTTATTCTGTTTATATGTAACTAAAACTGTTTTCTCTGATAAATATTTTTCAACAACAATAAAACCTACACGTATTAAAATTTATTCGTTAATATCTGTACAAACAGTCCTTGCCATGTTTTTATATAAAAAGTAATTATAAATTACTCAAATCAAAGGATCGGGCTTAGTTCATGGCTTGACAGGACTTTCACATTTAAACAATTAAGAATTATATTTGTAGAAGCTTGTCAGTTTCGAAGATTCGAGAACGCTTTTAATCCGAAATTAAATACCTTTAGTAGGCAACAATAATTTAATTTAGCAAATAAGTTTGGAGCTGTCATAAATCGTGAAATTCGTAAGAACATCAAATAAGATGAGTATTTACTAAAGATATTTAAAATTTAATTTACAGAAATATTATATATATATTAAATATATGGATTTCTATTTGGATTGATCCATCGGGAGAAATTTTAATTACACGAATTTATTTTTTCATTAAGTTTTAATTTCTCATTATTTATTCAAGTTTACCACATCATACTATATCTACGGTATATGTTACAAAACCTTTTATCTAAAATTTATGAAAATTTAGGTAATCATAAATGTTACATGATAAAATAAAAATACCAGAAGTTGTTGTTAAGCAGAAAAAAAATAGTACCAGCAAATCAGCGGATTAGGTACGACATAGACATGGCTTTCGTTAAAATTGATCAGCCCACTATCGAATATATTCAGCTCCGGATAAGTACTGTTACCCGTTAAATTAAAAAAAAAAACAAAAATTTCTAAGATACATTAATATTGGTGTAGTATATATATTGAATTTCTTTAGTCAACAAACACTATTTAAGATTACGAATCGCGTCAGGAAAATTAATATTTAAAGATTTATCTGGATCAAAATATCTCTCAAAAATGTATTAATAACAATACTACAAGTAAACATGAAAGAGTCTTTCGTAGTGGTTTTCTAATGAGATTTTTAACCCCGACAGAGTTAAAGCTTCAAAGGTATTGATGTTAGTATCAATAAAGAAATGCAGCCTTTGTAAGAGTATTTCTTAGAAGTATAATGGATCTTCAGAATGTAATTTAATAAAGTAAGCTGTATTCTGAGATATTATGAACGCTTTAATGTTGCCAGGTTAAATTATTAGCTGATAAGATTACGTGGTAATATGAGTAAAAATGGGTAATGATTTTGTTATTAATTTTCTATTGTATGACGTCAGGTGATCAGCCTCCTGTATATGACACACGCTGTCGACTTTTTTGGGTCTCAGGCAAGCCGGTTTCATCACGAGCCTTCGCCGTTCCAGCGAATCTTAAATGCGCACATAGCGATCCATTGGTGCACAGCCGGGGATCGAACCTACGACCTGAGGGATGAGAGTTGCACGTTGAAGCCACTAGGCCAACTTTGATCTTGTATTTGATGATACCTTTGATTATATTCGAATTTTTCTATTGACGCTCTCGACAGACAAAAATACTAGGAACCTTCAGTAAGTGTTCGACAGTTGCATAAGTTTTATTAAATTAACGGATGCCACATCTATAATCATTTCAACTTTCAAAAATTGCGTGATTATTTCCAATAATTATTATTAAGCTAAAAGTTTAATTCATAAATCGGAGCGTATTAAATGTACTGGAATTTATTGGTATTGTATATTTGATTAGCTTGCTTGGCTATGAAGAGAATCCTATTACGAAACAAAATCTATAAACCCTTTGTAAATTATAGTTACAAAATATATGAATTCTTTGTAATTTGTAAAAATATTTATTGGTTAAGCGTGAGACCCTCAAACATTTGAGCGTTAGGACGTGCGTTCAAACCCCGAACCATTTCTTTTCTTGATAAAATGGATATATTATTAATATTGAAATGTCCAATATCTTGCCCTTAAAAGAAAATGTATTATTAAATCTGGATTATTATGTATTTCTAAAAGTTCCCCTAGCAGTCTTAATAGTATGATGACGTGAACGCATTGAGATTACCTACTCTAGTAAGCGTCATTGACTAAGACTTACCACTTCTGGCTTATCAGACTCGTTATCAGCCGACTCCTCAAGTATATTAGTCAATAACATACTCGGTCTCATTGATACCCGTTTTCTAGCCATAGACCGTCTCCGCATTTCCGCACTCTCCTCTTTCACTTCATCGTTTATTGCCGCGAATTGTTCATAAAAATTAATAACCCCACTCAACTCCCCATCATTACTGACGACCTCATGCTCTGCACTTATAGAAATCCTCTCCTCTAATCGCCTATACCCTTCCTCTGTGTTATTTGTGGAAATATTTGCGGAATGCCCATTATTGTACTCGTATTCTAAATCGAAGCCTCGATCGTCGAAAAGGCTTTTGAATTTCGCCCAACAACCCGTCTTTTTTACAACACTCTGTTCGATTACATCGTTTTCTTTGTGTTCCATTTTTATTATTTCAATGAGGACATTATAAACGAAATTATTCTTTTATTAGCCGTTTATACGCGGCTTCTAATACCAAGACTTCTTGTAAAGTATGGGTTGAGGAGTTTAGATCCTTTAATATTCACGACACATTATTTCACTATCACTTTTTTGAATCCTCCGCGCGTGACCACTGTAGAGATTTCCATATGACTGAGGCTAATTGGCTAAGTAATTCTGATAAAATCCGATAAGAGTACATTATTTTAATTTAATCAGTGATTATTACGGCACTGATTACTGATAAATATTTATCTAATGCCATAGCTGTTCATATCTAAATACTGGTAACAATTCGTTATAAATAATCATCGTGATTAAATTGTTCTAAGGTTGTGAACATCATAATTTTTCATGCATTGCAAATGGGAATATAATACTTCTGGCTTTTGTAATAAAGATCAATGCTGCTTGAGACCAAGTTATTTGAGCCCTACTAGTATGGGTGGTGCAAGAGAAGAACGGCAGAAGTTACGGACCGTACGGGAATCGTGGAGCTTTTTAGACTAGCGTAAGATACCCGGTAATTCATGTTGATAACAGCCAACCTTTAGAAATAAACTGGCACGTAAAGAAGATGAGCTTGTGTGATATCAAGACTAAATAAAAAACGTTGTAATAAAAACTTATTATTAATAATAATGTTTGTTTATAAAAAAGAAGGTAATGACCAGATGGATATGTGCGACGGCGAAGGCCAAGGTGTTTGCGATACCAAGGGCCAGAACCAGTCTGTTGCACAGATCCTTGTTAACAAAGACGTTGCGCTTACTGAATACTGTCTCCGACTATCGACATCTTTATATGTTCGCAGAGGGAGTTCACAGTAGCGATATTATGTATTTAATCTATATATATAAAAATGAAACCCGTTTTCCGTTGTCACGACATAACATGAAAACGGCTTGACCGATTTGTCTGATTTTTTTTTGTTGTGTTTGTAATTGTCAGGAGAAGGTTCTTATAAAAGAATAAAAGAAAAAAAATTGCGCGATAAATTAGAAAATTTAAGCATACTTAACCACCATAAAATTCGAACTTTTTGATGTAACCTTATGGCGTTTGACATAACATTGACAGAATGCGTGCTGCAAATATCGTCAAAGAGGATGTAAGAAAAATGAATATCGTTTAAAATAAATGCTTCGATTGGAGTTATTATATTGATAATATAATAATATGCGAGCCAGAAAAACAATCAAAGAATGTCGTATAAGCATTTAGCATTAGAATAATAAACACTTTGTTTCTGAAATATTTTTTAATGAATTATACCAATTTGAAATCAATATTCATAGTTAAGACAGGACAACGTCTGTCGGGTCCGCTAGTATTATATATATTAGGGATCCCAATCACATTCCAAGCAGGCGCTTGATTGGAACCCGCAAAGAAAGTGGAAGCGTAGCCGTCCCAGGCAAACCTGGCGCCGTACAGTTGCAGATGAGGCAAAGAGAACCGGAAGGACTTGGAGCGAGGTGAAATACGAGGCTCAAGACCGAACGCGATGGAGACTCACCGTGGACGCCTTTTGCCCCATCTAGGGGTTATAAGACATGAAGTCAAGTCTTATATATATCTATTATTTTTTCGACATTACCATATTGGCTTTTATTATTTATTTATTTAGTTATTAAGCTTACAACATCACACACAGTACAAAATCTACTAATTATTTTACAAAATCTTACATCTAAAATGTTTGACAATTAATGAAAACATAAGTTTCACAAATTTTTTTTATTAAATACAATTAAAACGATAACACAAGCACACAATAAAATAAAATTACAGAAATTTGTTGGCACTAAGGCTGCTGCCTCGAATTTTGCGGGCAGCGGGGCGGCGGCGGCGGCGGCGGCGCGGTAGCGGCAGGATCTTATGCGTAAAATCAAATGGACCGGTTCTCGAAAACAGCGGCGTGGCAGCGGCGCGAGGGCGGGTAACGAGAGGTGCAATCGCCCGTTCCCGCGCCGCAGCCGCCGCCGCCCCGCTGCCCGCAAAATTCGAGGCAGCAGCCTTAGAGCAGAAAAAAAAAGAAAAATCATCAGCAAAACAGCGAAATTAGGTTCGAGAAAGGCAGCCCACAATGCTTTCCCTAAAAAGGCTTAGTAAAGATAAGGTATATATTTTTGTATACATAAATATTTTTTTAATTTAAGGAATCCAGTTCTCTGATGTTGTTTTAACAGAAAATTTACAATCACTATTATATTGTGCACAACGATTAGGAACCTCTTGTTCAACCACGTTTAACCACCACCATTAAAACTTTATGATAACAATACCAATTTCAGTTGGATATCGTGTATACGGATTCAGGTGAATCACTTAAATCAAACAATGATATGTTTGCACACATTGATAACTGCAAGTTTAATTAACAATCAAGAACAGTGACAGTCAGCCTACTAAATAGAATTCAATGTTTATAATTCAAACACTTGTTATTAAATGAAGGTTATCATGTATTTCCCTTTTTTTAAGCCTTTTATATGTAAATAAACATTCCAATTAGCGATTAATTAATTAGTGATATTAATGACTACTGAGATCAAATGCGTTGAGCGATGTACATTCATAGGATTATATATAAAAAATAGAAACAATTGTATATTGTGGAAGTTTGTTATGGAAGAGCTGGGAACCCTGACAGATGTATCATAAACTTACGTAAATCTAACAATTGTAACGCATAATTTTAATAATAAACATTTGTAATAAATAAAACTCCCAATCATCATACACCATTATATAAAATCAATATAATTTGTTTACCATTCTACCATTGTTTAACAATGTATTTAAGAAGCTCAGAAATTGCTTCAATTGACATCGCTCTTGTGTCAATGCAATGGACTGCCCTTTTGAATTTAATGATTTAATATACTTTAAAGCTACTCATATAATAATGGACTTAAGATTGTCAGCATGAATAAATAAATAATTATTATTATTAAGTTTTATTTTATGACTCATCTATCTCAATTCTGCCGTCTGTTGGTTCTTAGTATAGAAAGTTATTTGAAAAAATTAATTCCGTGCACATAATTATCGTTAATTCACTCAATAATTTACATGGTCGTATCTATACACTACATTCATGAAATCTAAATATAATACACTGCTTTTAACCGACTTCAATGTTGTTATCAGTTTACCTGAATGTACGCGATGTTAGATGCAATTTGAGAATGATCATATTATGTCAATGAATGTGTGTTCAAAAAATTCAAGAAAATAAAGTCGTGTAGTGATCTTTTTTGATTAAATAGTGAAAGTTTCATTTATATCAGTAAAGTAGTTTTTGAGATACTCCACTCTTTTCTAGACATGCATAATATAATATGTAGGTAGATAAATTATATTGACAGGTATTTATAGTCAGTTTAATTTTCCTAATTTTTTAGATAAAATACTGTCTAAATTTACATTCCTTTCTCTCTTCTCTATCTAAATCTCTTTTCAACACAGCTTGTGTTGAAAAGAGATTTAGTTAACATGAAAATTTAAGTCAAGAAATTTAGCTAGGTTGATATTTTCCGACAATTACAAATTGTACTTTTTTAATAACGATGGGCGTTTATAAAAACTTATAGAGGAACTTTAGCTTAACACGTGGGTTAATTAATATATTTCAACTTACAGCGACATCGACTAGAGGCTCATCTTCAGGCGTAAGAGCGAGGGAGGAGCGGCGACCTGCGCGCGCGCCTGGAGACCCACTCGAACTACCTGCAAAGAAACATTAAGCTGTGTTAATATGGAATTAATCTTGTCAAATCATTACGGTTATGTACGGGCCTCAGTCGATACTTTGATTCGCGAGGATCCAGAGCATTTCCTACAAAATACCTTTAAAAAACTAAAACATTAATTTCTCATTAAGAGAATTACAACATTCACATAAGAAAATACTAATACATTACGCTTTTTAATTAATTGTATATTACAATAGCAGGCAAAAAACAGAAGACTTATAAGATAAAAATACAGCTATTAAAAAATTTTACACAAAAAATAATACAAAACAACAACAATGTATAATAAAATATATAAAAAAAATCAGTGGCGCTACAGCCCTTTTGGGTCTTGTCGTCAGATTTCTGTATCTGTTCCTTGATCAATTGTCAATCTAATAGAAAATAAATGATCAGCGCACATAGCGCGAAATTCTACTGGCACAGCTGGGGATCAAACCTACGACCTGAGGGATGAGTGGCGCACGCTGAAGCCACTTTTTTTTATGAGGTGAAAATGCGCTTACGCAGGCCCGTATCAAACGCTGAAGCCACTAGGCCAACACTGTTTATATACATACATATATAATATGAAGAATACCCGAATTGTTTTACCGTTATTTGAGAAATCTTTAATATTTCTGATAGCCTGTTCTTATAAAAGAAATCGATGCAGGAGTCTTAATAAAGGAACATTCTACGTATTTTCATCACCTGTCATACCATCATAATGTGGTGGCACATGCTCTTTAACCCTATATAAATTTATGAAAACATCATGATTTATGAAATGAATAAAAGAAGGTTACCTACAGAAAAAGAAAATAAAAAAAACTTAACCTAGTGTAATTCACTGGAAACTGAGACAATATCAGATAGAAAAAAATTTGGAGCTGTTTTGTAATTTCACACATGCAATTTACCATTTGTTTTGTAATGCCTGGGAGAGAACACTTAAGTGATAAGGACTGCCCGTAAACCTAATAAATTATTTAAAAAATAATTAAAATTTAATTGTTAATGCATTGCCGCGGTGAACTACTAGTAATATAAGTACATTCCTGTCTGAAATACAAAACCAATCAGTTTTAGCTTTGTAATCATACACACACATACACTCGCTCATATGTTGAAAAAACATGAGTTTTGGCAGATTTGAGTAGACCATGTCTGCGATATCGATCCCGCGGGTTTCGTATGCAATTTTGATGTACTTACTAC